AACCTACAGAAAATATATTTACCTTGTTTGGACAATGCCATTCACCAGGGAAGTATTAAAAGTATTACTCACGACCAGATGTTTCGTTTGTCTATTCCAAGAGCAATGTAAACAATTCAAAACTTGCGCTGGTTTACAGTTATCGTTCGTTACCTCCCCCTAGCGGTCAGCAGAAATGCTAGTTGATGCGACCGATTTAGAGCAAAATCTTTACCGGATATTCAAAACGCGAGTAAAAGTCAAACTAATACAGTAGGCCTTTCAACTGCCGCTAGGGGTCGGTGTTATGAACGATAACTCATTGCTGAAACTTGTTTAGAGCAGGTTCGGGGTATCCAACTGTTTATATGCAAAGCAGTTTTTTATGGAATCTGGATAGGGCCACGCAGTTCACTATCGCATCATCGCACCATCAAGGTTTGAGTCGATGGTGCGATGACGCGATAATGCGATGACGATGAAGCGATGGTGCGATAACGATGAAGCGATGGTGCGATAGTGCGATGACGATGATGCGATGGCGCGATAGCGCAATGACGATGATGCGATGGCACGATAGCGATGCTGCGATGGTGCGATAGCGATCCTATCATTGCTATCGCAGCATCGCTATCGTGCCATCGCGGCATCGCATTATCGCTTCATCGTACCATCGCATCATCGTCATCGCGCTATCGCGCCATCGCATCATCGTCATCGCACTATCGCACCATCGCTTCATCGTTATCGCACCATCGCTTCATCGTCATCGCATTATCGCGTCATCGCAACATCGACTCAAACCTTGATGGTGCGATGATGCGATAGTGAACTGCGTGGCCCTATCCGGATTCCATAGTTTTTAGCATTTTTTAAGTGTTTCTTTGCTCTCAGTAGAATCCAGTGGTTTTAAAATTTAGCACCAATGTTAACCTTATTTACTGTATAGTTGCGGACACAGGTTTTGCATATAATTAAAATTTTTAATTAAAATAAAAAGTGAAATCTACCCTCCTTCTCAGTTCTAACCTATTTAAATTTTTATACTCGGTCGTTCCCCTTCGTGCTTAGTAACACAAATAAGATGATCAATTGTTGCATTTACTTGTAAAAATATATATATTTACACAGGAAGCGAAAAAGTGCGAACACAAAAAATATGACATTAAATTTTCTTCTTTATAATAATCGTCAAAGAGAGTTAAAACTATTGAATATAGTCTAGTTCAAAAATCACATCTCGGGAATAAGAAGTGTTGTTCCGGTTTTACTTCACGTAGTGCGAGTATTGGTCTACTTTAAATCTATTATAGACATGGATAAACACACCTTTTAAATCAAAGTACATGTAATAATAAAATGGATTTTTGGAAATAACAATTATTCAAATTACGTTTTATATTATTTATAATAAATCTCTTTAGTCCCCACGACATAGGATTTCCATTATTTACATTTTGCTCTCGTTTGAAATCTTTAAAAGTCTGCCAAACTTTTAAGTAGGTAGAGGCTTGGCGATTTTGCTGATGATTTTGTCTGTTTGAACTCAAAGTTTATCAGATTTGCCGGGCCATCTGTACGAAGTTTTCTTTCTCTCCATAAAGTATTGAATCCAGAAAGGGCCATGCAGTTCACTATCGCATAATCGCACAGTCGAGGTTTGAGTCTCTTGTGCGATGATCCGAAATTGCGATTGCGATGAAACGATGGTGCGATAGCGATGAAGTGCAGCGCAATGACGATGATGCGATGGTGCGACAATGCGATGACGATGCTGCGATGGTACAATAAAGCGATAGCACGATGATGCGATTGTGCGATCGTGATGACACGAAAAGACGATGACGATTGCGCGATGACGATGAAGCGATATACACTTTAGCACCATCGTGGTATCGAACCATCGTCATTGCAATATCGCCATCATATCATCGTTATCGCGCTATCGCACTATCATATCATCGTTATTGCATCATTGCGTCATTTTTATTGCGTAATAGCATCACGCCGTCGACTTTTTAGTCGATACTCGATAGTTCGATAATGAACTGCATGGCCCTATTCTGATCACAAAGAAAATTCGACTAAATCATCTGAAAAAATAGACATTTGAAAATGACAAAGAAGAATTCCGTTGCACAAATCTCGATATTTATGAACCTATTGCATCGTAGAAATTTACCTGCAATTCTTGTGTGGTGCAGCCTTGCACTCTTTAATTCAATGTCTAAGAGGGGGTTGTTTAACAGAAATGTGTTAGTTTCTAAAGAACCATTTAACATTTGTATCAAATCTCTGTTTTGAAAACTAAGTTTACCCTAACTGATTTCATTTTTTTGAAAATCATTTGATAAAAAATTCAAATACTTGAAGGTAACTGCTTGTTGCGTTTCTTTTGCGTTTCAGTATATATTTTTCAAAGTGATATGAAAAATTAATGCATGTCATAAAAAATTCTTTTTTGATACGGACTGATTGATTAATTGTATGTTGTTTAACGTCCCACTCGAGAATTTTTCACTCGTATGGAAACGTCACCGTATGCCGGTGAAGGGCATCAAATTTTGACCTTTTCTCGGCACTTAGGGCCATTGAGCAGTGAAGGATCTTTATCGTGACAACGCCTGCCTCGACACGGAACCTCGTTTTTAAGGTCTCATCCGAAGGACCCCTAACTTTCACTTCAAGTGCCGAGTGCATGGCGAAGGAATAGTTGCTACCCATTTTTTATCGACTTAGGTCGGTCGCGGCTGAGATACGAACTCACGACCTCCCGATCACGAAACGAGCGCTCTACCGTCTGAGCTACCGTGGGCGGTTTTTGATAAGGATGATTTGAAGCTAATAACTGTAAATAAAAGCTGTTTAAAAAAAAAAAAACCTAGAATCCTACCCATGACCCATGAATTCTCAAAAAGTAGTGGTAAATAAAAAAAATAAAAAATACACAATCTTTTTGCAATTAAGATCACATTAATATAAATAGGTATAAGAACAGAGTTTGTTTTGACATCACTCTGAGAGATTCCTGTCACAGTGATTTTATGTCACAGTATGAAAGGAAATTCAAAAGTTCTGCCAAACTGACGATTTTCTTTTCCTTCAATTCACAAAGATTTTTTTCTCCTTTTAAGGATATATAGACATAATACAAGCTTTCTGAGACTGTTTCCATAGCAGTAACATTATCATGCCGGCAAGAGTAATCTTTTTCTCATTATAAGAGAATGAAAATGCGATGAAATGTAAAAAAAAAAAAAAAAACACGTAAAAATTCATTGAAGCGGAATAAAAAGCATTCTTGATATATATCTCATCAACCGAAGGAAAAGTGGCATACCAAAAGTCACTATTATATTTTCGAGCGTTTAAAAAATATTGAGGATGAACCCTTGAAAATTATAAGGTTATAATTCTTTAAAAAAAGAAAAAAAACAATTAAGAGGAACGAAATGCAAACTTCATATTTAATTCTTTAAGATAGACTCACAAACCAAAATATCTGCGCATCTCTTCAAGCGATTAGAAACAAGGTGTGGAAAACTAAACGCGAACGTTTGGACAGGAGTAGAAGATACATTAAGTCCGTACTGGTGAACTTCCGATTTCACCAGTAGTGGACAAATAGACCATTTTTAAAAGTGCCTACAGTGTTGTAAATCTCGTAAAATCGTTTAGTGATTACGACTCAAACTCTAAACTATGATTTCTAGGCTTATATGTCACCGAAAGATGGACTCAAAAGCAATTGTAATTGATAGAATATCCTATTGTTTTTTTAAGTTGAATAATAGAATTTCAATCGTGGGATTGATTAGATTTTTTTCTGTTATTTTCTCTCGTGAATACAAAGAGAGATTTGGGTTTTTTTAAGAATTAGGCCCAAATATGAAATCAAATTCTTTAACTAACTACAATACATTAAATATCCTCTATCTAATAAAGAATTCAAAATAGGAACAGAGCAAAGAGGGACCTCCAAAACATCAGACGTGGGATCAGGTGCCATTGAGCAGTGAGCATCCCCTGTCGACCCGTCACACTCGCCGTGTGCTCCTTTTCATGATGGGGATATCTAACAAACGAAATAAAAAAGAAAAAGAATATTGACAAAAAAAAAGTTTCGAACCTGTTTACAATCAAAAAGTGTGTTACTACTTTGAATAATGAAATGTACCCTTTTTTTAAAAATCTTTATCGTTTATTTTTTTCTGATAAATGTACATTGTCAACATTAGGTCATACATAAATTCGAAAATAACTATTATTTTTAAAACTTACTGCCTTATCCAATAAAGAAAAATGAAATGCATGTCTTTATTTTGCTTCCCGTTTGATAGTTATTCTGTATCACATTACATTACATGAACAGCTAAGCTATGTTGTTTTATTTTCTTCTCGAATTGATATTGATCGGAAACATAGTATATGGTCTGGGTAAGATAATTTCTTTTCATTTAAATAAATCTCAGTTTTATATTGTATTTTTAGTCAATTTGATTTTTTTTCTCTTTTTTGTATTTTTTTTTTCTAATCTGACATAATAAAAAACTTGTTTTGCATGATTAATACACTTACAATCGTTGCAAAGTCATAGAAAGTCGGTTAATTGAAGATGAGTATTTATCACAACCTGAAATCCACGGTAGTAACCGAAAATAAAGACTATTCATTTATATTTCATATTATGATGTTTTAACAAACATGAAGCAAAAAACTGTCACAGACTGTAAACAATAAAAATCAAACAGTATAAATCAAGACACATCCTTTTTCACTTACCGGTATTTTACATGCTTATTTTTTTTCAAATTCTTTCCAAAAAGAGTATTTCTTATTGAATCAATGAATGTAACTAAACTACCGTACATGTATTTGTTTCACATTATATTATCATATAATAAGTTTGACAATGTACAGATGTTGCACAATATAGTTCTCTCTTGAAAATGGAATCTTACTTCTAGAATGCCCTGATGGACAGTTTGGAGACAACTGTGAGGGAAATTGTAGCAGTTGCCCTTTTCTGGAGACATGTGACACAGTTTCCGGGCAATGCAATGGTATTAATATATTGGTTTATGGACATATATACCATTCAAAGCATCTGTTGTCCAATACAACAACTGAAAAAATCTTTGTCTAATAATAGATATTATTTTATATTTTATAAGTAATACTTTTGGGGAAAAAATATTGCAAGAATACTCACAACAAATGATATCAACTATTTTGACACTATATCCTAAAAAAATAATTTTGATTTTTCAATTCTTATTATCGCTTATTCAAGCCTCTATACAAAAGTTAAGTAACAAATCTATATATTATATTACTCTTGTTATGTCAATTACCTTTCGATTTGCTACATTACAGAACTTATTTTAAAATGCTGAAGAAAACCAAGAATTCTCTGATATAGAAGAAGTTTAAAGAATATCTTTTTTCAACATGTTCAAATGTTATTTGCTTAAATTCGGGCGGAAATCTCCCATTTATTTTTTTCTTTGCAATCAGCAAATGCATCTGTATATATGTAAATATTTCCTTGAATATTTTCCTTTATCTCAGGATTTAAAAATGCACCGATGAGGGTGAGAGTCAATTATTTCGTGAGGATTTTTACTGATAAGATATTGTGTAGAAAATTTTCAATTAAATCTCAATCAAATCTTCCAACCCAAATAATCAAATCTGTATTGTGAAAATTATGTAATTTATATGTGATTTTCGATTAAATATTTTGATTTTAAGAACTCATCACTTGGAAAAAGTAAACCATTTGTTGGAAATGCACATTTTTGTTTTATTACAGTCATAATAAGATCACCAGATTCTATTACATGGCATCAATCCAAACCTTTTCTGTTGTCAGTTATAGCGTCTCTTTCAATAAGTGTTGGCCTAAACCTCGCTTTAATACTCTGGTGAGTTTGTTTTTATACTTTTCCATTTAATTTCATACTTGCTTTGGTCTCTATTTTTTTAGGGGGTTGGGTGTCATCAATACACACTTTTTTGTATTAACTAAAAAAAAATCACACATTTCAGGAAGTGTAGTAAAATTAGGTGCAAAAGGAAGAAAGAGAAATTTACACCACAATAGTCAGAAAAACCTACGAATCCAGATCCACAAATTATTGATGATGCAGAAGAAAGAATAGTTTACGAAGGTGTATGAGTGTGTGAGCTCGGACAAATTTTACAAGAGTTTTGATGTGTTTATATTTGAATGTATATGAGTATTCTAAAAATATAATTTTATTACCAATTCAACTAATTTCTACCATTTTAATGTTTGAATCTCATTTCACTTGTGTGTTCCAAAAAAAAAAAAAAAACTAGAATTCAAAATTTCTTGTTTCAATATTTGAGTGCAGTATTGTGGAACAATTTACCTTTAAATATAAGGATGTCTTCAATGCTTCAACATTTACATGTAAAATCAAGACAAGAAAAAATATAATATAGAACAACGATGCTGTAAATCTGTTGACTGTATTATTAACTTGAAATTGGGTATGTTGTTCATGTACATGTATATTGTGTAATTCTACTGTAAACTATATTTCTTTTTTCATCATGTATAATTGAAATTGAAATAAAAGTCTCAAGAAAAAAAATATATACAGTGGATTTTAATGAAATCTTCAAGAATGAGATTCTTTAAAAGAATTTTATATAAAATTCAGGGTTTTTTTCTTATTTTTTTTATACATTTGGTTCCAGTGCCGATTAATTTTGAACAATTTCCTGAGTTTAAAATACATTTTCGTCGGCGAAGGAACTAGAGACTTCGTAGAAATTATTGAACAAGATGTAAATGTGTACAGGTTCCTTGTTAAACGTCGTTAGTAATCAAGACGCTAAATTTTTTTCTCAATTTTTTTTATGTTTTTCAATATTTTTCTTGGATTTTTACAGAGCTCATAGAAGCTCTTCTAAAAAGTTTGATTTATATTTTATTTACGAAAAATCTAGATATCTGCATTTTAAAATTTGAAGCAAGGTGGGTGTGTGTGTGGGGGGGGGGGGGCAAAACTTTTGGCTTAACGAAATATACCGTAAGTTCAATGAAATGTGAATGAAATATTGGCTGACAAGCAGACAACTCGAGTTCAATCCCTTACTAGTCTTTTCATGAATGAATAACTTATGGGGATAATCAACTATGGGGGTAAGTAGGAAAATAAAATATGAAGAATTTTTTTAAATTACTGCTTTAGTGTTATTTGCCCACATACAATATATTACACATATATCTACAATGTGATACATATACTTTCTGAATCTTGAAATTCAGTCTATAAGAACAACCTTTTTAATAATTTCAAGGAAGCTTATACATCTATTTATAAGAACCTCAAATTCCAAAGAAAAGGCGATAACTTTTGCTCGTGATGTTTGGGGCGAAACAATGTAAGCTTTTTAAAAAAAAATCACGAGAGTCAGCCACTGGAATACAGAAACATTCTTCCTCCTTTCGAGATGGTACATGTATATGATTTGGTTTTTTATTCATCATGATCTAATCCTTAAGATTCATTGTAATGTAAGATAGATTCTTCTTCTTTGTATCTTTATTATGTAAATATAATAAAGCATAGAGTATTTTTTGATAGACTGCCTCATAATCATTCATTTTGTATTTTAAAAATCCGTTCTTATAAGACTCTATTCGAAATGTCTAACATTTCTAATATTTTACTGAGGTTCATACAAACCTGAAGCTTATTTGCAGCTCTGTTCTGCAGCAAGTCTAAATACATGTAATAAAGAAGTTGTGTTAAAAGAACATTTATTACAAATGTTCAATGAAATAATAGATTTACAATTTCAGAATGCAGCTGAAGTTGGGACACAAAAATAATTCACAAACAGGAACATGGACTAACAAAAAGGGTCTTTTGCCCAATCCTTAAATGTGCTTCAGTTTCTTAATGAATATACTTGATATTGATGTTAATTCTTACAAAACTGTTTAAACACTAAAAACGGATTATTAATGGATTTAATTTTCAGAATTTATCATTCATAGGTGGTTTATAAAAATATACCTCAATTTTTTTATGAAAAATTTATAAAATATCCAGCTGAGGTTATTTACACTAAAAAAATTGTATTTTCCTTTGTACAATTATGACATCGATTTTTTTTTCTTGTCGCCCCGTAACGTAAAATCATCCTTAAAAAAAAGGCGACAAATGGGGCGGTCCTTCGTAGTATAAACCAGCAAAAACATTATTTACAAAGGCTAAGTGCCGAGCATAGCCTAAATTTGCAGCCCTTCACTGGCAATGGTGACGTCTCCATATCAGTTAAATATTCTGGAGAGGGACGTTAAACAGTATACAACCAATCAATCTTTTTCTTGTCTATTATCCCATATCGAAACACAATGCAACAACAGGAGTGTGTGCAGCACGGAAGGGAGGGACAATGGAAAGAGTCCCAATGTTCATGCACATGTAGTGCTCACACGCTACGCGTAGTACGTTATGGTCCACATACAACTCAAAAGTCATTTACCTATCTACCAGGATAGCAACATTACCTATCTTGACACCATCATGTAAAAAACTTCAAAGTGATATGAAAAAACTCATGTATATCATAAAACGTTATTTTGATAAGGACAAGGCTAATAACCTAGCTGTTACCATAACGAGAGGGTGTTTAAAATTTAAACCTGGAATACCTCCCCCCAAACGACCCCTGAATTCACAGAAAATAGTGTTAAATACAATTACACAATCTGTAAGACATAAAGATCACAGAAATGTGTAAAAATAATTTTAAATAGATTTGCGAACCATTCATATCAGTGTGATATTCATCGTCGGAAACCCACGGCTGATTACGCTTCGTTCCTCTCTCCATCACCCGTGGGTCCATTCATATCATTTCGCTCGTTCTCATGAATAATTAATGAGACAATTTGATTGGTTGCTCTTGGTATATCTAAAGCGATATTGTCCAATGAGGAAGTCCCTTTCAACGCACTTTCGCTTTGTTGTGCAAGCGAGGTTACAGTAATTCTACCCTTTAGCACACATATTGCCCGCAAATCCTTTGATGTCGTGAATGCAAAATTGTTTTAATACCTTGTATTATTCCTTGCTTGTATATGACGATAGGGATCTGTAAGAACGGTCATATATGATTTTCTGCATATAGCATGATTTAATGGGCGCAGCCATTGTTATGCAAGCGAGGTTACAGTAATTCTACCTTTAAAACAGGAGAGTTCTGCTAATTTCATTGGACAATAAATTTAATGAATATTTATGAGAAACGAGCGAATTGGTATGAATGGACCCACGGGTGATGGAGAGAGGAACGAAGCGTAATCAGCCGTGGGTTTCCGACGATGTGTGATATTAAAATTTGAAAATGTTTGATTTATGTTCTTTTTCTAAGACGACGATGAAGGATATGAAGATAATGAACAGTATTCAATATCAATAGGAGCAGAGCAAACATCAGAGGTGGGATCAGGTGCCATGGATTAGTGAGCATCCCCCTCCGACCAGTCACACCCGCCGTGCACTCCTTGCAATGAGCAGGAAAAAAAAAAAGGAAAAATCCGTCGTCGATTCAATGTATAAATAATGGACGAACCATAAGTATAAAAAAGTCAGTCAGCATTTGACTCAATGGTAAACTATATTTGCTGAAAAAATTATTATATCGACAATAAAACTTACAAAATGATGGCTTTAAACAGAATGCTGATATTCCTTACCTTAATCATCTACACTGCTGTATGAGATAGGGAAGTTGATGATAGAAAAGTTAAAGTCGTCAAGTTTATCATATAGCTTGGTTGTTAGATTACCATTAATGTTTTTTCAAATAAAATATCCAAGTATGAAGCAGAAGTGTCGGACTCTGTGGTATCTTTTATCTGAAGCTCACCAGGATATATCGTATCAACGTAAGAATGGAAATCACCATTGGTAATTGAAAATGCGTCGTCGATATATCTAAATGTCGAGTTGAAGGCCACAGGAAGTGATTTCTTCTTTTCACGCATAAGATTTTGCACAAAATCTTCTTCATATGAATATAAAAATAGGTCTACTAATTACGGAGCGCAATTGGTACCAATAGCAATTCAAATAGATTGTTGGAATACATGGTCTCCAAAAACCACATACGAGATACATATTGTCATTCAGAAACTTAAGAATCTCTTTGGTGTCAACTTCAGAGTACATGTGTGTGCAATTAGAATGTGTTTTAACAAAATAATTTTGCAAATGAGCAATGACCAGGTAGGTAAATTTACGAGTTCCATTTTTATTGAGAAAGTAGCTCTCAATGATATCACGAAGCCTGGACTTTAATTCATCGTGGGGAATGATTGTGTATAAAGTTGAAAAGTCGTAAGTTTTTAAGCTGTTTATTTTTGTAAAATCTTGTATTTTCAGATTGTCCAAAAGAACTTTGGCATTTTTGAGTATCCACATCTGATTCACACCACTCCTTGACTATATTGTTACAAAGGACTCTTGATGGTTTTCCTTCACTACTGTAAATATCTAAGTGAGGAGTAACGAAAGAGGCTTGGTTGAACATTTACTGGAACCCGGAAAGTATCTTTGTTTATTTGGATTTTTATAAATCTTCGAAATCCAATTTATCTGGAGTAGTTCAAATCCATGTTATAGAAATAACTACTTGTATTACTTTTCCATGTAACTATTTCAATACTCAGATGACATATAATACCCTTTTTTATCATCTCTTCTTTAAAGTAAATTGTATCTAAATTCATGATTGATATCATACTTGTAATATAATTTATTATATAGCCTATATTGATTGTTTGATAAACTATTTCAACCTAAGCTGCTGGAGTTTGTCTTGACTTCATTCTGAGAGAACCCTGTAACAATGACTTTAAGTCACAGTGTGAAAGAAAATTCGGACGTTCTGCAAAACTCTCGTTTTCTTTTCCTTCAATTAAAAAAGAATGCCATAAAATATACAACTTAGACCCTTTAAGAATATACAGACATAGTTAACAAGGTGTCTGAGAGTGTTGCCCTAGCAATATTTGTACCTTGCCAGCAAATGTAGTCTTTTTTCCATTAAGAAAGTGAAAATGTGATGAAATGAAAATACCATTTTTCCGTAAAAATTCATTGAAGCAAAATAAATAGCAAACTTGATATATAACTCATCAAGGTAAAATAGCATACAAAAGTCACCATTATGTTTTTCAGCGTTAAGAAGAAAATTTGTCGACGAATCTTAGAAAATTTAAAAGTCATAATTCTCTCAAAAATCATTTAAACAGAACTAAATGCAAACTTGACATGTAGTTCACATCAATTCATATGAAACACGGACCTACAAAACATCAGAGGTGTGATCAGGTGCCATAGAGGAGTAAAAATCCCCTGCCCACCGGTTGCCGTGTGTTCCTTTTTATGATCGGGAAATAACAGGAAAATCTAATAAACAATATAAAAGGAAAAATATTCGGGGAAAAAATAAAAATTTTTCACAATAAAAAGTGTGTTACTACGTTAATAATGAAATGTATCTTTCGTTTGATGTGCTTAGTTGTTGTGATTTTTTTTTCTTTGTTTATTTTTTGTTTTTTTTAAACCGTATAAGTAGAATTTTTAGCGGGGATTTAACTTTGGCATTATTAGCGAGTGTGCCAAGATTGTTAAATTGAATATCGCCGAAAGTTAATTGCGCTTTATTTGTTATAGCTTCTTTAGTGCGCTTTTCAAAATCGCTTAAATTACATTCGCTAAAAATAAAATACCAATTTTTTAGGACAAATCGCTAAATTTGCGTCTCGCTAAAATTTCCACTTATACGGTATAAAAGTATATTGTGAAAATTAGGTCTCACATAAATTCGGAAATAACTATGATTTGTTTAACCTTACTGCCTCATTCATTAAAGAAATGCTATAACTATCTTAATTTTTTCTTCCCGTTTGTAAGTTATTCCGTATCAATTCACATGAACAGCTGAGAAATGTTGTTTTATTTTCTTAGCAAATTAATATTGATCGGAAATATAGTAAATGCTTATGGTAAGATAATTTCTTTTCATTAATATAAATCACATTTTTTTAATGCATTTTAATGAATTTGTGTCTCTATCGTTTTTTTTGTTTTCGTTGGGGTTTTTGTATCTTTTTTCTAAGATAACATACAAAAACACATGTTTTACATCATTTATAAACTTAAGGAATTCAATATATAATGAAGGATTTCAAACAATGTTAGATAGTTTTAAACTAGTTAAAAATGCATTGCTAGATAACGATTAAAATAAAATATACCACATTCACAAGACTGATAACATGTTTTGCACGTTAAAAGTTTTTTTTTTGAGTTATCTGCCCTAGAAGGATTTTTTTATTTCTCAAATTTCCTGTGGTAAATAATTACATTTCATACTTTAATAAAAAGGGAGTTTATGCATATTTTCACCAAGATATTGGTTTGAAATTCAAATTAATTTCAAAAATATCTTTAAAAAAAAAACTTGCGCTGCCCATAGATCTCAATGAAAAATTCAAGGTGCAATTAATTGGACATTAATAAAATTTTTTATAAATTCCTTTGGTGGACCTGATTTCATTGAAAATGATCGAAAAAATAAATTTCTAGAAAATAAAGAAATAATAAACCTTCTGTCACGTTTAGATTTCTACCCTTCTGAAACCATCCTCATTATCCTATACAAATATTTTCCACTTTAAATTCCAATTTTGTACAAATTTGAATTTCAAAAAATTAAGGTACATTGGTACTCTGATAAGAGAGATAACCTTTAATGACACAAATGTCTATTATCCCTTTATAAATTTGTCAAATTTAAGTGCCTTTTTTGTCAAATTTTGCCACGCAAGCCATGCTTTAACTGTTTGTATTTTATTCAGCATATACATTTCCTTTGGAAAATCATAAAAGTTAAAGAAAAAATTCCATATGAGTGAGCAGAGGGTTTATGCACCTTAAAAAACTTTGCGGTAAAACTTGTGTGTATGAAAACATGACCCAAATTATTATTTTCAAAATTTTTGACAAAATTAGAAATTTTGTTTGAATCATCTGTCCTTAAAAACGTAATTTGTAAATTTCTTCCTACCTATCCTTAAATCAAAGGTTGTTTCAAAAATACAGAGTTGTTGATTTATATTTCATAATATGATGTTTCAACAATCTTAAACAAACTTAAACCAAAAAAAGTTACTGTAAACAGAAAAATCAAACAAAAGACAAATCTTTTTTCTTCTTTTATCTGCTTATTTTTTAAAACTTTTCTTAAAAAAAAATTACTTCTTTAATTTTTAATTTGAATGTAACTAAAACATCTTAATTAAACATGTACAGTACTATGTAATTTTTACGAAAGCTAATTTTGGACATATTAAAATATATTAATGAAATCGATTGTATACCGTTTAACGTCCCTCTCCAGAATATTTCAATGATATGGAGACGTCGCCATTGCCGGGAATGGCTGCAAATTTGGGCCTATGCTCGGCACTTACGGCCTTTGAGCAGAGAAGGATCTTTATCGTGCCACACCTGCTGTGACCCGGGCCTCGGTTTATACGGTCTCATCCGAAGGACCGCCCCATTTAGTCGCCTTTTACGACAAGCAAGGGGGTACTAGGGACATTTCTAACCCGGATCCCCACGGGGCTATGAAATCGATATAACAAATTGTCGTATTTCTTATAACGAGTTATATATTTGTAATAGTCAAATAAAGTTACTTAGTTTTTGTCATTTCTATTCCTTGCAGTAATATGCGGGGATTCACATGCTGATCATACTGATATCATAGGCAGTCATTTAAAGCTGATAATAATATGTAAATTTCTTGACGAGGAAAAGGGAAAAAAGATTTCAGATTAAACTATAATAAGGAAAATTGAAATCAACAGAAATCATCTAGTGTATATCTTATTTATGTATAAGGGGGAGCTAAGGAAGTGTAAGACTCCCTACCCTTATATTATCAAAATAGCAATCTCGAAATCTAATTCTATAAAATATCTGTTAATATCGATATAAGAATTTACACATTTCTGGGAAAAAGATGGGGAAATAATGTTATTGATTATTTTTGTGGTGGGGATTGCTAAAGAATTTTCACTTCACCCGGGATTCAGTAAAAGCTCCTGTTCAATGTATTTCCTATTGTATAGCTGTATAGATTTACAAACATGTTTTCAGAAAATAGAGAGACATAAGCAATTAGATCATAGGGATAGTCATATCACACTGTTTCCATTACAACTTTTGTAGAGGGTAGGACAAAATATCTTTTTGCCCCCCCCCCCTCTTTTAAAAATCTAAGTATTATATCCCAACAATAAAGAATAATTAAAGTTTTAAAGTAAATTTTCTGGTTTTTTTTTTTTTTTTTTTTTTTTGTCAACTATTTCTTTTGGGTAACCCCATCCTCTCTTTCTGAAAACTTTTTGTCTTAGCTGCAATGAGGCACATATTATTTCACATTATTCTCATAGGAGTAGCATTTCATGCTTTAATGAATGAAAGACCTAGAGAAAGGAGAAGCTGTCATTATTATATTTGTCATAATCTATTTATTCTTTATTTTAAAAAAAGTTGATTATTTCATCAAAGAGGGAAAATATTGAACTATATTAATTACTAGACATATTTTTATATGAATTAGAACGATGTAAATTGATATCTTCTTCAATGGGGATAATTTAACCGATCATGCCACATCTTCTTCAATACGAGGGCCGTTCAAAAATTACGAATTATTTACTCTTACAGAATATAGTTTTAAAATTTCAAACATCTGGTTTTTTTCCTTGTCAACTTATCGGTATTTCTTTTGGGTTGAACCCCATTTAACTCTCTTTTCTAAAATTCGCGATATTTTTCAAAACTTTTTGTCTTTAAATTGCAATGAATGTACATATTACTTTATATTTGAAGTACTCATAGAAATATATTTTTTCATGCTTTGATGAATGAAAGACCTAGAGAAAGGAGAAACTGTCATTATTATATTGGTCATAAAATATTTATTCCTTATTTAAAAAAAAATAGAAAAGTTAACTTTAGCCGGACTGTAAATGATTTCATATCACACTATATCTCATAAGTAGTTTTTGGTTTTAAAACAAATAAAGAATATTCTTTACTTGTTTAATAATTTTAAGCTTGAACATCTGTTTTGATGTTGATGAAAGGTTAAACTATACAGGTACTCAAGTGTGAATTGATATTTTCTTGTTTGTGACAAGATTTTGCTGGGATAATGTAACCGACCAATTTACAACATTTTGATATGAAATTTTGAAGACCATCTTCTTTTATATTATTTGTGAAATTCTCTGTAATCATACAGGAAATAATTAAATATTCATACATGGAAAATTGTGCATACGCCGTCAATAAATCTGTGAGATGTGGTTTTTCCTAGCATTCCTACGCCTGAGTAGTTATTTGAAGAAAAATACATGTATATTGAAACTTTTCCCTAGAAATACTAGCCTAGCATACTTCTATCAAAATAAAAATTTATAACAGATTACATGTTGATAAGATAATAATAAGTAAGACAATGTAAAAAATATTAACACAAATGTAGTTAACTTTTCGCTTCCGTGTACCAGTGAGGGAAATTATATTTAATTTTTGTCTTAAGCCATAATACTCATTCTTCGCACTTCAGTTCTCACTTTTGGTATCCTTTCACACACACACGCACACAAAAAAACATTCAAACGTATTTAAACTTACTTTGGGTATCCTTTCACACACAAAAGAAACATTTACGTCCTTGTATTAACGTAAAAACAATTTAAACTTTTATTTTTAATTATTAAAAAAAGGGTAGATAACTCTTACCAGAATTCAAGGTCATAAATGAGGACACATACCACTATATATACTAATAGTAATAAATAGAAATCATGTCTAAATAAACTAAGTATTCAATGCCTACATATCTGTTATGTATATAATTTCAATGAATTTGATCCTATAAGGGACTGATTATCTTAAAAAGATGTGCCGATCTTTCGTCGTCATTACCATTTTTATAGAATGAATCATTTACAACATCAATCTTATAAACATAATGATACTTTATATATGCTATGTATACCAGAGGTATTTATTCAATACCTATACCCTTCTACAGAGATTATATTTAGTAAATTCCAAATAATAATCATATAATTATAAAAAAAATCCTTTAGTTATTGCAATACACGTATACATTTTAATCATATAATTTTTTTGCATGTTATATCGGGTTAACATAAAAGATAGAAAAGCTTTTGTATTGTATTTCATCGTCTGATGTATATGTCACCTTGACAGATATTTCTTTCAACTTGTCATACAGTTATGTCGACATTTTGGCATATACATGTAAAGATGTGTGCCAAATGTGAAGATAATTTTATTTGTTTTCTATATATTTAATTGAAAACACCATATTTGTATGAACTAAAATTTGTATTCAGTATTTCATTTTTATCTCTACAGCCTTCTGGACCGACACAATCTCTAGACATATTGAGAGAGATAGAAGAGAGGCAGACAACATATCCACCTTATCTACCTTCAAAATAAATAAAACAGGTGAAGCTCTACTATTGCAGTTATATGTGATCCTATATCACAGATTTCCAAGTCACTTATCAATTGATATAAATTTTCTCTGGCTGAAAATATTACACATCTACATTCTTTTTTCAAAAACACAAATTGAACGTTTAAGATGAAAGATAAAAATACTTGACATTGGTCATATTGGTATGAAAATGTTTTCAAACCTTTCTGATATAATCATGTATTAACAAAAAAAATCTGAATAAATATACATGCACTCGGTACCTTTCAGGCTATATGCATATAAAAAATACTGAAACATATATAATTATTCATAATTCTGCAAATAGAATGTAATACATCTGGTGAATATGGAGAAAACTGCACTCTATCATGTCCCGAGAATTGTCAGGAAGGTCATTGTAACATTGAAGATGGGACGTGTCTTGAATGTGTTGTCGGATACCAAGGACCACATTGTGAGGAGGGTACGTAGGAGAGAGAGAGAGAGAGAGAGAGAGAGAGAGAGAGAGAGAGAGAGAGAGAGAGAGAGAGAGAGAGAGAGAGAGAGATGCATTTTAAAGTGAAAACTTTTTATCTAATGTATGAAGGTTGTTTTTTTTTTGTTTTGTTTTTTTGTTTTTTTTTTTTTTTATTATTTCAATTGTCATTTTTTAATACTGATTCGAAATCCATGAAATATTAAAAAAGTATTTAGCAGAAATTGTTATTTATTTGTTTTTTTTGTCAAAAATATTTTACAAGGAATTAAATTTTTTTAAAAAATCCATCAAATGATTATAGGTACTACTTTTCTTCTTGTATTTATATGCAAAAAAAAAAAATAATAATCGTATATATTATGTTGTAGAATGTGACGGTCTGATGTACGGACAGAATTGCAATCAATCATGTGGCTCCTGTTTGAAGTCAGAACAGTGTCATCACATAAATGGCACATGTACAGATGGGTGTGACAGAGGTTATGAAGGCGAAATGTGTACAGAAGGTATAAAAGTGTTCAATAACTCCACAAACTATAGTAGCCCGCGTGGAGGAGTGGTTATAGCGTCTGATCTTGAGTCGCAAAGTACACCTAAGGGATTGATCATTATGTAGCTTGTTGAGAGAATTTTTCACTCAAATGGAGACGCCACCACTTGCCGATGGAGAGCTGCACGTTTTGTTCATACTTGGCACTCAGAGCCATTGAGCAGTAATAGATCTTTTTCGTGCCAGCACCTACTGCAACATGGGGCCTCGGTCAATATAGTCCCAATTGAAGGATCAGTCTAAACATCTCACGATGGGAATCAAAACCGCAACGTAAGGATCGACTCCTTACCTCGCGAATCTAGAGCAGACGTTCTGACCACTGCGTCACACGGACGACTCCTTTGTCCGAATACTGTTTAAAAAATTTATACTTCTTTTGGGCTATAAACACATCTATTTGTTAATATATAGCATTTTACAACAGCTTACACATGTACCTCCAGTTAAATGGACATTCAAACAAATTTCAAGAAGACATTTACACATATCGAGGAAAGTTCATATTATTTCTTACTTTTGAGTTTATTTCCGTTTTAGAATGTCCAGTAGGACGCTATGGGTATAATTGTGAGGACACATGTAGTATTAACTGTGGCGTCCCTAGTAGATGTAACAGGGTGACAGGGGAATGTCAAGATGGATGTCAGGCAGGATTTAAGGACCTTATATGTGACAAAAGTAAGCATTATTTTGGTAAACAAAATGTGTATAGATATAACATGTATAACACTCGATGTAATTTTTCAGAAAGACTAAAAAGAACAAAAAAAAAACATGAAATTTGTCAATAATAATTATAGATTGTTACTGTAAGGATGATTTTATATTGACAAAAGTCTGAGAACATTGCTAGAAAGATCAATTTTACATTTACATAGATATATATCTCTTTTCTGTTTTTCCTTTATTTTGATTATGGAGAACTAATAATCACTTTATCGGTACATGAACTTTCCCATAGAACATACATTTTTAAATGACCATAATTGGGCTTTTTTCCATTATGTTTTTATGAAAATGTAATGAAAATTGTGTCCTATCCCCTCCACGTATCAAAAAAATATATTCTGACAAAACAATAAAAATGTAATAAATGAAGTTTTAAAGGCAATATCTAGGTATCAAATGAATCTAACATATCTTTTATAGAATGTGATGGGGGAAGTTTTGGACTGAACTGTACTCAGTCATGTGGAAATTGCTTTAGAAAAGAACAGTGTCATCACGTAAACGGGACATGCTTCAATGGCTGCAATAAGGGTTACCAAGGAGACACTTGTACACAAGGTGACGTACATGTATACATAAAATCCTTTCATAAATTATGCATATTATAATGGTATGATTATTGTTAAGTATATCAAGACAATTTCTGAGCAAAGGCATTGGTTTAAAAAATATTTTTAACCTGGTTGAAAACTGTGTTGAGGTGTCTTAAAAGGGGTAATTTTGATATCTTATATTATACTTTCATAGACATTCCTTCACTACAAAGGCTTTAACTTACGCAAGCGAAAAATCAAGGTCTGAAAAGTTCTAGTATAATGATATATTTTAGCGTTTCAACAAAGCACTAAGATGAAAATGTGGAGATATCGAACAGTAGTGGAGCTCAAAAGTCCATAAAACCATACAAAATAGGAACAGAGATATTACGGACTCCCAAAATCAGAGATAGGATCATGGAGGATTGAGCATCGACCCGCCGTGTGCTTCTTGTCATGTTTATGAATAATGGAAAAATCTGGCAAGGCCTAAAATAATGGCCTGAAAAAAGTCAGTCAGCCTTTATGACTTAACGATATATTGTACTTGCCTGTATCGACCGTCGAACTTACGAAAAAAGGGCTCTAAACGAGACTGCTGATGTTCTTGCTTCATCAATTCTTTGTCAATTACTTACCTTGTTTAAGAAATTGTTTATATTAGGTAACAATAAAAACTTAATATGAATTTCAACCTTTGCGATATACAGAGATTAGAAATAATATGTATGCACGCAGTAGTGCAGAACAATTTTTCAACCAAAGAAGTTTGACAATTTAATCTGAGAGTATAATAAATAGAATAGATATTGCCTGCTCATTAACACAAAAAATGAAACAAGAAGATATAAATATGTTTTACATATACAGTACAACACCTTTCAATCAACTACGGTTATAAAAATTTGACTCTTTTAAGGAATTGTGATTTAAGCATATCTGATAGGCTAACAAAAATATCCTATTGCGTATACGTATATACATGTAACTGTGATAGTATATATTTATATTTAATTTTTAGTATTGTTTACATAAAAAATTATCGAGAGTATAATTTTCAGTTATTACATAAACAGGATTTTATATATTCTAGGTTAATTTTTAGTTTAAGTCAGTCATGGGTTTCCATAGGTAGTGCAGAATATGGTGTTCATGGTTCAATAGTTTTTATTCCTGGTTGGTTAAATTTAGAGTCAAAGGTGAAAGTCTTAGAGGGCGTAGTGATATTGAAGTATTAGATACTCCTTCCTGTTTTGTACACTGTATAAATGTGTTGATATTAGAGATTTTAGATTCTACTGACCTTGACAGAAAAGGGTTCCTAACCATAGCTGCTATTATATTAATGTAAAGAACGATGGCTCTAATACCATATATTTGAGCCTGTTTGACTTTATGTGTAATTAATAAATTCATCTGTTACACCTACACCATAGTTGTATCTATAATTTGAAAAAACCGTAACATAACAAAGCAAAGAAAGGCATTTCTTAAGAAGTATGTTTTACTGTATATGTCATTGTGAATTATTTTGATTATTTTTTCCAGTGTGTCCAAACAGACGGTATGGATACAACTGCGAAGAAACCTGTACCAACTGTAGCGTTGTCAGGAGATGTGATGCAAGATCAGGGAAATGTAACGGTATATAAACAACCGAATTTGATTTTGTCTACAAGATCTTGAAAATTATGCCCATTCTAATGCAATTTATCATTTTGTTTGTTGTTTATGCCTTATTTTGTTGAGTTTTCTTACATAAAATACGTCATGGGGCATTATGATTTTGCGTCATTCTAGTCTCAATAAAAATCTTTCTCTCTCGTTAATGTTCTTTTTACTCCTTCAAACATCAGTCCATTAGCCAATCAAAACGTCTTTTACAAAACAATTGCATTAGAATGTAAGATTTATTATAAAGATTTACGTTTGAATTACGTCGTTGCAGTGATAAAAGAATCATTGGATTCTGATACAAGTGACGAGAACCTTTACTTAGTGTACGGATTGATAGCTTCTCTTCTCTCAAGTGTTGGCTTAAATGTCGTTTTAATTATCTGGTGAGAGTTTTTGTACATTCTCTTCCTTCTAACCTCCGTCCTAGTTAATTATTTAAATATACTTAAAACTTTCATTTTCTCACTTTTTTCTTAATTCAAAGATATTAAAAGAAATAAGATATATATTTAGGAGCTGTAGAAAGAAAACGCGCAAACGGAAGACTCGCCAAGAGAAGATAACTACACCGATACCTAGAAAATTGAATACACAGATCAAAGTTGAAGAACGTGTAGTACATGCAAGTGACGATCTAGATGACAGAGAGAAATCCACAGCGCCTTCAAAATCACAGAAATCACATATCAAAGACGAAGCTGAAGATGATACAGTATATGAAGATGGTGTAGAATATGAAGAAATAGGTCTAATAGAGAAATCGACAACACCTACAAAAACACAGATCAAAGACAAAGTTGAAGATGGAGTAGTATATGAAGACCAAGAGCAAACAGAAATATACCGAGCGCCTTCAAAATTACAGAAAACACAGATCAAAGACAAAGTTGAAGATGATGTAGAATATGAAGACCAAGAGCAAACAAAGATATCCACAGCACCTTCAAAACTGAAAACACAGATTAATGACGAAGTTGAAGATGATGTAGAATATGAAGACCCGGAGCAAACAAAGATATCCACATAGCCTTCAAAACTGAAAACACAGATCAAAGACGAAGTTGAAGATGGAGTAGTATATGAAGACCCCACAGCGCCTTCAAAATTGAGAACAAAGATCAACTATGAAGCTGACGATGGAGTGGTATATGAAGACCAAATTCAAACAAATCAGTGGTCAATTTATGAATATTAACATTTGACTGATGTTGCAGTATTAAAATACATGAGCCTTATATGCATGTAACATATAACTTCAATGTAAACACTTTTATACATGTATGTGCTTGTGTTAAATAAAACAAATAAAAAGGAGCATTCAAATCTCAAAATACAAAACTGTCTTAATATTCACAGTATGTTTTTTGTTGCTCGATATTTCTGTTGTTTTTTTTGTACTCAAAAAGGAGATATGAACATTCAGCATGAATACCTTTCCTATTATTATACAATTAATAGTTATCTCAATATCTTAGGCATAATCTTTTCTCGCATCTCTTTCCAGTATAATAAAAATTACATTTACCCAAATACAGTCTCCACTTCTCTCAACATGCTCAATGGAAAAGGGGCAAGTTGATGAGCATTAAATTTGCACACGTATATATCTTCCCAATATTCCGTTTTACATCCATATGTACAGAAGCCCTTAGAGTTACATTTCCAAAGATTACAGCTGGGGTTGCACTGTTTTCCTAAGATTGAAATAGCATATACGATTTTCCTTTAAAAAATAACTGACAGTGATGTAAGTTTTGAAGTAAGTAATTCTTAAATTATATGTTTTAAATTTTTTATTTTAAAATATAGGTTACTACCGTTTTACTAACAAATGTGGATGATTAAGAAAAAATAAAATTTGCAAACTACAATTCAACATCTTAGAAATGAAAAAGATTTCAATATCTAGAACTTTGAACTTACCATTTGATTTGATCGTAATTGTTTTCCTTACAGCCTGCTGTTCAGACAACGAACTCCCGATCCAACATTAAATGTGAAACCTTTTATAATCGATTCCAGAAGTGAAATTCGGAGGGGGTATTTTTTTTTCTTAATACAAAACAAGATGAGTTTGTGAAACATTGTGCCCCCGATGGTAACACAATTCTGGATTGGGACGTAGATTGAAGTTGTATACACTTAAACCCCAGTCATACTTCCATTACCACCAGCCGACAGGTTTTGAAGCAAAAATGTGATTCTACGGGTGACAGTTGGCAGTTCATCGGCTGTTGTCTTGCCCGATTTTGGCATCTTTTTCTGTCCGCCGACCAATTTTGTGTCCATCGGTCCAAGTTATATTTTTTCTGCGTCGGTGGCCGATTTCTTCAATTGAATTTATCCGTCCCCCAACCTTAGATCATCGTCCGACCTTCGGCGGTCAGTTTATTTTTTCTTGGACGTCCGTCGTTCGACAATAAGGGTGCCCAAATTTCGGCTCACGGTTTAAATCAAACTGTAGATCAGAGCTCGATGATCGGGCGACGATATGCCTGCCGACTAGCAAATATTTGACCTTTAAGGATAAATAATACAAACAAAAATATAATGCATGGATTGATATATACTTTGAGCGGAAATAACATAAATAATAACATAAATAATTAATCTGTAAGATACGAAGAAATCTTAAGTATGCTTTGCTGATAACATATTCGCTATTTGTTTTTTTTATGCAATTCTATACAAAATTTGGTACACATTTTCAACATAGTGTCACAATCGTATAAAGTTCTGCCACTCTTCCTTGCAAACATTACTCATGACACATTTCTGAATATTGCTGGTTACTAAAGAAAAAAAAGCATTTCTCGTGTTATTTATCCAAGTCATCTGTGTTCTTAGATATTAATGTGACTGCTCCGTGTCGCCCGATACTCATGTCGGCCGATAATGTTCTTTCAGCCGACAAGACCAGAAAAATTGAGTCAACCGATCATCGGCTTAAATGTGACCTAGGCATTACCCTTGACAGAGCAATAGTTATGAGTTAGGTTAAAGTTAAGACAACAGGCAGACAAACAGACTGACAGGTCAAAACAATATACATCCGGGATCTTTCGATTAGGGGGCTTGAAAAAAAACTTGGCAATTAATCACAAGCACGCTTATTGGAGTATAATAATATAATAAATATTCATGCTTCTTTGACAGAAGACCAGGATTAATCGTGAATTTCGATTGATTTCGAAATTGACATGTACATTCCATGCATTTTGCCATGCAAAAACGATACATTGCAAATCTGTATCAAACAATTTGCTTCGTCGTTTTGCTTTTTTCGTATATGATTAAGTAGTAAACACAATTATATTAATTTCTTTACAGTATTTGACTGACAGTAATATTTTTCAATATTGTTTACATATCTTGCTAGTCATTTATAATATTGTATGAATTGAATTTAGACATTTAATTGTATTAATGTTTTGGATTAATTCATAATAATGTAGATTCTCATTGATTTTTACAGTGATATTGTAAATTAAATTATTACTTATAAAGTATTAAAACCAACATAAGAAACATTTTCACTGTGTGCCGTTGGTTTTTTAGATGAAAATTAGTGAATTATGATAGCGTCAATACTACAAAGTATACATAGTTATATAACTTTTACAGTTAGGCATATTTACATGCCTCTGTAAGGTATAGAATACCTAAAAAGGTTATAGTTATTTCCATTCTTGAAAAAAAAAATTGTGTAATACACATTGTCTCCCTTACCTAACATGCATTGATGGCCCTGGTAGCCTCTTTTGCAGCCAAAGCAAGTACCGTTTTCTGCATGACAGTGTCCATCAAGACAATTATTGTTACACTTGATAGAAGTCAGGACTACAGTCTAAATTCAAACGAACTTTGTTAATGGCGTCAATTGTAAAAAATAAATGTATGTCAAAAGAATAATAATTTAATATATTTATCTTCGGGATTAACTATATAAATATTATCAAGGTGAAAAAAACACCAAAGCTGAATCGATACAATGACAAATGTTCTAAAATAATGTAAGGTACTCCTATCCTCAGGTTCTGAAAATCAGGCATAGACTAATTGAAAATGCTCACAAAAATATTTCTGAATTCTCAAAGTGATGTGTTTTACCAACGATAATTCTTCATCCTTAAAATCAATTATTTATTTAACTGAAATTGGTAAATCTCGAATAAATTTTCAGGTAATGTGAGTTAAAATACCAACTAGGCATTTTCGCATTCAATTTTAATCAACAAACACATATAATAAATAAAATTCATTGGTATGCAGGCTCTTAAAAATTTTGTACTTAAGCCTATTAGGTATTTTAGTTTCTTCTATTTACTTCCATCATTTTACAATGTATAATGCATAAAAATTTTCTCATCATTAGAAAAGACCATAAATCAATTCTAATTTGCTTGACAGTTCATTTTACCTTCCTGAAAACTTCAAATACCCTAGAAGGACATTGAGAGGTATAAAATGAAAATAGTTGAAAAAGATTTAATTTTCAAGCTTTGTTTTGAGATTTTTGAATAAAATTATGAAACATTAAAGAGTTATCCTTCCTAGCTGAGGTTCGGAATACCTAAAAACCGATTTTTAATTGTTAAAATATCACATTTCTCAAAAGTAAGTTTTTTACATACTTGTACATTTGTCCCCCTGCCATCCCTCTTTGCAAGTGCAGTTTCCCATGTGTCTATCACAAGTAATATTACAGCCAGGACTACAATCGTTTTGACACCCCTCTCCAAATTTTAGATCCACACACCCATTGTCACAGGATCCGTTGTTCTTGCTGCACGACAGATTTTCACAGTTAGCATTACAAGGCAGCTGACACTGATTACCGTAATAACCGTTAAGGCATCCTGCAATGCAGTCACCGGTTTCTCTATCGCAGGAAATGCGGCAGGAAGAGCTACAGGTCTTGTCACAGTAATCCCCAAAATACCCATCCACACAACCTTTATCACAGTACCCATTACTGTTACATGTATACATGTAACAATTGGCACTACAGTATCTTTCAAAGCAATTAAAACCATGATGTGGTGATAAACAACCTAAATATAAAATTATGCATCCTAGCTTTTTTGCAGTGAAATTCGTTTTAATTATTTTAAGAACAATATCGATTGAAAGAAATTATCATGTCAATATCTTCAAAATTCTTATGCTTATTGAAATAATTTATCAATACAATATGTTAATAAACAAAATTCTTACTGTCACACTTATTTTCTTTAAAGTTTGGTAAGCATCCTTCTTTGCAAATTCCAGTTGACTGGTAACACCTGTAATTAATGCATCCCCTACCACACGATTTTTCACAGTAAGGTCCATAATAACCGTCTATACAACCTTTTCTGCATAACCCGGTTTTGTGGGCACAACTTCTTTCTTTGCAAGTTGGGCATAACCTTTTCTCGCATCTCTTTCCAGTATAATGAAATTGACATATACCCCAAATACATAAGCCACTTCTCTCACAGGAAAAGCGGCAAGTCGATGGGCATAAGTGTGCACACGTATCTCCCCAATATTCCTCTTTACATCCATATGTACAGTAGCCCTTAGCGTTACATTCCCCAATATTACAATTGGGATTGCACTGTTTTCCTAAAATTGAAATAGAAAATACGATTTTCTTAAAATTGAAATAGAAAATACGATTTTCCTTTGAAAATCATTGACATTGTATAAGCAATGGTTCCTAGAAACTGATGTTAAGTCATTGAAAAACCTGATACTTATGTTTGTATTAAAATCGCTTGTACATCTGCAAGCTGTGTGACCTCACTTTCCCTGTTTTTAGTTTTTGTACACGTTATTTCAGTAAGTGATTGAACACAAATGCATCGTATGGACATTACAAATAATCGTCATTATCTTTCATATTTGAATGCATGGTTATTACATTGCTGCGTGTAATTTTATTTCTTATTTCAGGCCAATCAGTGCCCTATAGGAAATTTTATACTTCTTTAAAACAAGTAAAAATAAGGATGTATTACTTTTACAGCAAATACAATTTATCATTGAGTCAAATGCTGACTGACGTTTTTCATACTAATTGTTACTCCATTATTTATACACTGAATTGATGACGGGTTTTTCCGTTATTTTCCGATCATGACAAGGAGCACACGGCGGGTGTGACCGGTCAGCAGGGAATGCTCACTTCTCCGTGGCACCTGATCCCACCTCTGAAGTTTCAGAGGTCCGTACTTGCTCTGCTCCTATTTTGTATTGTTTTATGGATTCTGAGATTGAATACTGTTCGTTATCTCCATATCTTTCGATCAAAATTCTGCTCACGTGGTACATGTTTATGTGAAGAAAAAACATATCATAACAAGATATTCAGAATAAATAGCAGTGTCTAGAATATAAATACTGATTCAAAGACAATTTCAAACATTGTCTCAATGAAAGACAGTCTGGAATATTCGTATTTTTGTTCAATGATCTTCAATTCAGTTATTTAAAAATAACTGGCAGAAAAAAATCAATATGGTCGAAAAGAGCAATAAAGCATGAAAAACAATGCAGCAAAGGACCCTTATACAAAACAGTGAAATCTAATAAAAGCAAACTTAACACAGGATTAACATACCGTAACAATAAATAATGCCCAACAATAAAACAATCCACACTCGCCAAAGAGTAGCCATTCCAAATAAAGGAAGAAATTAAAATGAGAGCAATTCCTTTTCTATGTAGAATTATTTCTTTGTAAATCTAACAGTGTGTTGAAAACCTTGAGTGGGAAGTAGTATATACTTATATCTTAAAAGTATGTATAAACACTTAGATTTATACATCAACGCTAATAGAAAATATTTTTTTTTTCACAATTACAATGTAAATGTTTAAAGGCTTAAAATATATTTTAATGGTCATCGATTGTTTGAAGAGTAACATTCATGAATGTATCATCTGAAGCTCTATACTGTCCACACAATATCGAACAATGATCATAGGTAAATGTTATCAGGTATTTATATACTTTTAAACTCATTCAATTCATTACAATTAATATCAATTATGTATTAAAAGATGTTTGTGTGTACGTGTGAGGGTGTGTGAGAGGGTGTGACTACACAGTATATATTTTTAAGGCCTTAAGATAGAATTAAAGACACTCTTATTGCTACATGCACTCTTTTATGCACATGTAACGTAAAAGTCATATAATTCACCACACTTCGTTTGAAGTAGCACACTTAAGGTTTTAGTTATTTGTAAGTAGAGCTCTTGATGACAATGTGTTTCTTTGATATTAAAGATAAAATTGCTGGTTGATTACTTCCTCGTACTAAGCACTAAGCGAACTTAAGAAAAGCTTGATCCAAACTGCTTCTTTTAAATTAAAGGGATTCTTTCATATTTAAACCGATAAAAAGTTGGGAGAACACAATTGTTTTCTCAGGAGCGTTGATTTTGGGTATATCAGAATACCATAGAATACGTTGGAACCAAT